CCATTGAAATTTTTAGGCCATCTTTCCTTCATCAGATGTAATCTTGGGAGAGTAATGGCTAAGCTCTATGAATCTTCTAACATAATCAGTGACTAAGAGGCTTCCCTAGGTAAGCTGCGCGAACTTTATCGGCTTCTGATGATGAATGTAATCGGGGAAGTATTCAACATTAAACGCATCTAAAAAGTGTTCTCATATGATGGACGTGGGTAGAGTAGTCTGCTTAACTTCCCACCAGCGCTCTGTTTCTCCCTCAAGCATAAAGGTGGCGAGGATAACCTTATGTTTATCAGTCACTCCTAGAACTCTAAAACACTTTTCAGTTGCATTTAGCCAATTTTTAGCCTCATAAAAAGTCAATGCTCCTGCAAATGGGACTGGATTTAGTCGCTTGTATTTCTTAATATAACTTAAATCTATCTCTAGTAGAGTTGGGCCCCGTTGAAGCGGAGGAGGAGGTGGAGGATTTGACAGGTATCCCCTTGTAGGAACTGGGGGAGGATCAAGAAGCTCCCTTCTTTTTTCTCTAGCCTGCTGACTAGTAACGAGCCTCTTCGCCAAGTTGTAAAGACGACCAACATCTTCAGTAATGACTTTATCTTAGAAGATTTGTTCATAAGGGGTCCTCTTCACCTCATTTTCATTTGCCTACATCACCAAACAAAATTTTAAGATTTACCATTTTGAAATTATATTCTCAACTATAGTCTTATCCTTAAGCCTCATGTGTAAGGGATGGTTCGGAAGAATGTGAGCTCTGATGCCAATTGTAATGGCCCGAACTTTCATACAGTGTCCTGATCGAATGCCCACAATATTATGATAAGGTAATCAATAAAAATACTTCGCACAATAAATCTTAAAATAACAAAAGTACATCCCCTATATACTTAGTTCAAAATATCCAATATCCATTAAATATGTCTAAGTTCTAAAATAAGTACTTACTAAAAACGAAATAATTAACATTAAGTATTGTTCGAATTAAAATAAAAATTAAACAATCTCCTAACAAGTTTCTTACTGTTCAGGAGCGAGATTCTGAATATCCTGATAGGGAAAAAAAAGAATAATAAATAATAAACTCATATGCTCAATAAGCATGTAAATACCAACAAATAATAAGATAATCTGTCTAAATTGGTAGAAAATATAAAACTACTGACATATATGGTTCAAAACACTTTTTTCTTTAATTCAGAAAACACGTGGTTTCTACAGCCTAATTCAATCACAAAATCTTCTAAATCAGTTTATTCAGTAAACGTTCAGAATTTTTTATTTTAATATTATAACTCAGAGTGTAAATAATTCAACAAATAACATAATTCAGTATTCGATATCACAATTTAAGCAATTCAGTAGATATTAATTTAGTTTTTCAGTATCATAAACTCTACTCTTGACTTCCTATTTATTCTTATAAATTTATATCTTATTAAAAATAATTTTACTGCCTGATGCCATTTTCGCTGGTATCAATAAGAGCAGTAAGGATTCTCTCTACTACGTGAATATGTCATAATTCAGTTTGTAGTACGCAGTATACAATTTATAATTTTTATCGCTTCGCCGTCTGGCTAAAGCCGTATACACGTGTAGGGTTCACCACAATCACAAGCCAAAATGTTACACACACATCCGCCCCTCAATGATACTAATTAAATGAATTTTTCAATCTTTCAATGTCTATTTATTTATTTACTCACTATAAATTTTTTAATTTATTATTTAACATATTCCATACCTA